CTTTTAACTCTTTCCCTTCCGCCAGTACTTCAAGGCAATGTAAGTAGCAAATAAAACACTGGTATGGTTAAGCAATATGTTGCAGTGAATAGGCAGCCAGCCTCAGAGAATGAGCTGGCCACATGTTATGACATGCCATTGGAAAAGATCAATCAATGAGCCAGTAGCAATTGGTGCATGCAACACCATGCTAATGGTTCTGTCCAAACTTACATCACAGCATCGCAACATGTAAACCAAAGCTTTCTTCACCTAACTTGATTGAAAAACATTGCTTTTCCTTTAGATACCTTAAAATAAATGTACTTTTAATACCTATCCAGCTTCCAAGTTTGCAACATCAGCAATTACAAACATCCTGAGGAGGTATGACTTAAAAATATGAAATGAAACATCTTCAACAAAGCCAGAGCAGCATAAAGACAGTGCCAGCATGATGTGCCCAGTGTACTGCTATTAGAGCTGCTGTAAGAACATCAGTGGCATCCTTGCTACAGGGTAGAATGATAAAGTCTCTTCAGTGTACAAGTAAACAGCTGGTGGAAACTGATGGAAAGCAGAAGGAAGAAGTCATGGTGACAAAGACTTCTAAGTACCCAAAAAGCACTTTGGGAATGTTCCAGGTAACAGATCTACGGAAGCCCTCAACCTTAAGGTTGTCTTTTGCTAGCAACTTCCCATCCAGGCTACCTGCAGGCAAAAAACAAAAGCATGGGCAATGCAATTGCTTGCATTTGCAGATTGCCTCCAAAAGTCTCCTCAGCACTTTTTATAGCACAAATAATTCTCTGTATAGACACTAAAAAGCAAACCCTAAAATATCTGGAGGCATATGCCTATTTATCCTTAGCTTTCTGGGCTTGAGTCTTTGCTATCAAAGGTCACTGAATGCTGCAGTCAGCCTAGCAGGGGATGGTTTCATTCTACAAGCAGGAGAAAGAAGTACTCATGGATCCTGGTGTGAAATCTGACAAATATCTGACTTAGTTACCCAATTAATTTTCAGCAGATATGGAAAGAAGCCATTTCTTGCAAATTTCATCCATTTCAGAAACATGAACTCTGAGGTACAATTTCAGCAATTAAAATTTTAGCTGTGTAAGGATATATACTTTATACTTGATTAATTAGTACTGTAATAATTAATGGGTAACATTATTTCTATCATTCTAATATTTCTATCGTTGTATTTGATATAAGCATCACACTCAGAATAGAATCAAATGCATTCCAACCAGGTATACAAATAAAGTTTTGGTTTTTTTTAATAAAAAGTACAGCTAATCACTTCCCCTTTATTCTTGAACAGAGCCTAATTACTTAAATTCAACAATTGTAGAAATTTTAAGAATTCAAGCTTCCATATGAATAATGATTCACCAGAATCTCCACATAATACAGTGAATTCCCACAGCAGACAGTGATTAGTAGTACAGAGTAATTTAGCTCTTTTTGGAGTCAGTATGCTTAGCCTTTCACCCTTAACATGATAAAAATGTATGAAATCATTAACACTCTAAGAAAGAATTGTGAGTTGAAATAATTCCCCATTTTGCTTTTTAAAGTAAATACCCTTCTTATATCCCCTCTGCTTTTATTCAGGGTATTTAAAATAGCTAAATGGAAAAACCTTGCAAATACTAATTTGTTAGAGATAACATTTTAGGATTCTGAGCTGATAAGATGTGAAACTCCTAACATTCAGGAAAAAATGGGTCTCATTTACTTACCAACTGTCTCAGTTTTATTTGCCATGTAAAAAGAGACCTATAGCTCCAACAAGTAATTATAGATCAAGCACTGCATTTATAACCCTGTTATCTGAAAATATGCCAGCCTATCAAAACAGGGCTTTATAAAAATCTAATTACCTCTGTGATGGCTGTTTCTTAAAAACAAGTTTCTCCTCAGTGCTGGGATCAGAACTCAGTGAAGTTGGTAACTGTAGCTGATTCTTTATCATCCCTCCAGCTGCTTCCTAGATTTTACTTCCACTTGGGGGGGGGGGAGGTGCAAGTCCAAAATCTCAGGCTACAGCTACAGAATGTAAGTAGAAATAAGAATAAAAATCAGTCTCTTCTGCTTCATGTATCACACACATAGAAATTACAGATGAGACAGACATCTTCCCAGTGTTGTTGAGCAACGATCATGGCATCGATTTGCCAAATACCAGGTTTCCCAGAAGACAGACTTACTTCTAAGCTTTAAAAACAGCACATATATTAAAGGCGCTAATATTAATACAGCCATTCCCATCTTATTAGAACATCCATTTGCACTCTAATAAATATTTGCAAGGCTTTCCTGTCTCCCCACGTAGGAAGCACAATTTATTGCTGAAATCAATTAAATGGGAGAGTCCTAGCAGGGAGTTAAAGGGTCAGGCAGAAGCACTGAGGTGGTTTGGTACTTCACCCATTTTGGTATCTCCCAGGTCTGTAACACTGGTGCAACTACTTTCATCTACTTGTACAGAGGGCTAAATACAGGGACATAATTTAATTATTGTCACAGGTAAAACAGACTCAACTTGGGAAGAATTAATGTATTGCCAATTAAAATATTTGGTACTGGAAAATAAAACTATAAACTGGGCAGCCCCTTACCTCTTCCTACAGAAGCCACCCCTGCAGTCCCCATCCACCCACCACCACCAAAACAATGCCACATACAGCCAAAAGACAGGCCTGGCTCAGCAAGGCAACAGACAGTGCTGGAAGCTGGCATGCCTGGGCACAGCACAAGCCAGCGAGCAGACATGTCATACACACAGGAGACAGCACCAAATCCATCCAAGCTTCCACAGAGCACAATGCAACTTCTTATTCAGGTACGTTCCAAGTGTCTGCTCAGCCTAACCAGCAGGAGCTGGTGGGCACCTCAGGGTAAGCTCCTGGGCAGACGCTATGGCTCCGTCTACACTTCGATTTCACAGAAACAGAAACTGCTATACAAACAAGCACTTCTAGTGGAGGAAGCCACACAATGAAAGACAGCTTCTGGCTAAACTGCAGTTAAAACAAAGATCTCCGATATGGTCATAACCACAGAAGTCCTGCTGCACCATAATCAAGTCCCACAGCGAACACAATGCCACTCTCATGGTAAAGTGTAGCAGATTAGTGCTGCCCTAGACAGTGTTACTTTCTACTAATCCGAAGCCTCAGGAATCACGGCTAATTATCCACACAGAGGTCAAGACAGCATTAAATTTCACGCAGCTCCCACGCTTCTGTAACCCATAGTTTAGTGAGAAAAAGGCAATGTAAGATACAAAACTAGCCTGTTTAGCAATAACTGTGATCCATGTTTGAAGCAGCTATAGTAGTAAGGGTGATCAAAAGGCTTGCTCACCACAGTTCTCAGCCAGGGGGACTGTCTGACTCACCAACTCCCTTCCCAGCCACATGGTGAAAAATGCATTCCAACCCAAAGTACTACAAATGCTATAATTACAAAATTAGAAGCACTTGAGCCATTGTATTTTATGATTATGGTTGAAAACAACTCGATTTTAAAAAGTAACTTAAAATTCAGTTAAAAAAAAAGAGCAGGTTAAATTAAGGACAGCAAGTATCACATCCTAAGGAAATCATTAACTGTTAAATGAACCATGTGCTATTTTTGTTATTTAAATACTGATTAGACTAATTACGCATAGAGGGAATTGAATCTAGAGGATTAAATGAAATATTTTCAGAGGCAGACTTTGTTGAGTAGAAAAGCTGCTGTTCCCCATTTAAACAGTACAAGATAACACTTTGAACATCTTATAATTATCAATGTTTTAAAAAGCTCATCATTTGGTGTCTGTTATTGGGCTATTAACATAGCTTATACTTCCCTTTTGACCTTAGTGACCTAAGTTAGTGTTAAAAACTGTACAGTTACACCAGAAGATACTACAGTTTAACTACCTTCTGTTTTATAATGATCACCTTAAAGTCTCAAGAGCTTGACTTCAAAACTTCAGTCTGCTTGTCATTCACTGCCCTCAAAGCCAAGACTACAATTTCTTCTGGGCAAAGAGCAACAATACTACTAGCAGGTAGAGACTGTTTTTAAAAAAGAAATATTTATTAACTCAGACTATACAAAACTCTGTAGACTTGCTCTATTAAAACAGACAAGGTCCATGCACAGCAAGTTTAACATTCCCCCACCCTCAACATTACAGACAGCACAAGCAGCAACTGTGAGTAAACTTCAGACATCACCCCCCTGTGAGGTAGAAAATTGATTACATGTGTTAATACTAAATTACTGCCAAAGACTAGAATCTATACAGTCAAAGACTAGAATCTATACAGTCAAAGACTAGAATCTATACAGTCAAAGACTAGAATCTATACAGTCAAAGACTAGAATCTATACAGTCAAAGACTAGAATCTATACAGTCAAAGACTAGAATCTATACAGTCAAAGACTAGAATCTATACAGTCAAAGACTAGAATCTATACAGTCAAAGACTAGAATCTATACAGTCAAAGACTAGAATCTATACAGTCAAAGACTAGAATCTATACAGTCAAAGACTAGAATCTATACAGTCAAAGACTAGAATCTATACAGTCAAAGACTAGAATCTATACAGTCAAAGACTAGAATCTATACAGTCAAAGACTAGAATCTATACAGTCAAAGACTAGAATCTATACAGTCAAAGACTAGAATCTATACAGTCAAAGACTAGAATCTATACAGTCAAAGACTAGAATCTATACAGTCAAAGACTAGAATCTATACAGTCAAAGACTAGAATCTATACAGTCAAAGACTAGAATCTATACAGTCAAAGACTAGAATCTATACAGTCAAAGACTAGAATCTATACAGTCAAAGACTAGAATCTATACAGTCAAAGACTAGAATCTATACAGTCAAAGACTAGAATCTATACAGTCAAAGACTAGAATCTATACAGTCAAAGACTAGAATCTATACAGTCAAAGACTACTCTACAGAAAGAGTTTCATTAGCTTCTGTGTTCCCACTGGTCTCCATGGCTATGACCTCTCTGGGATCATACAGGGCCATCTTGCCAGGCGAGTGACATCTTCCCCAGGATACCCACAGCGTGCAGCTGTGACAGCGGTTCCCAGCCAGAAGGAATTCACACCATACTGCTCCGGGCACAGCCCCAGCAGCCGCAGGGCCCATCGGAGAACTGTCAGGAACTCCTTCTTCGTTACAGTCCTATTATCTGAGTGCAAAAAGAGTGGCCCTTCCAGCCGTGAACGAACTGCCAGGTAGCTCCAGAGTGCCAGAACAGGGCACACCCATGGCTCTCCAGACAGCCCAAGGCTGATGACATGTCTCTCCTGACCCACTGGAGAGTTATGCAGGCAAAGCAACACTCTCCTCTCCATCAGCTGGAGGTCACTCAGGTACAGCAGCTCAGGCTGCAGTACATTATGGCGCTTTGCCACCATCTCTCCTATTCGAAGAGCCCCAAAAAAAGCTACAGTAAATAATGCACGGAACAGTAAGCACTCATAATATGTTATGCATACAGACTCCAGAGCTCCTAAGAGAGATCGTAACACCTCAATTGTTATAGGCAAATATTTATCCCTCAGGATTCCCACTCGACGTTTCAACCCTACCACCATGCAACGGGTTATAGAATCTTCCAGAGGATCAGGGTTTCCAGTCAGTTTTGATAAATAAGACAGTGCCGCCACATGTATCAGTGTCTTTGGGGATGAATAAAGAGACTCCACAGCCAAAAAGCCTCTAACTTGCTCCTCTGGTATTGGCCAGGCTGCAGGCATTCCCATGCTTTTCCTAAAGACAAGGAATTTCTTCAGGCCTTCGAGGTAGTCTTGCCATAGCCTACTGTCCCCTGAGCATTCCAGCAACGACAAAGTCTTCAGAGGCCAAGGTCCCAAGGAATGCTTCCGAGGACAACTAAAATTCCTTCCTACAAGAGAGAACCCACATTAGCACATTGCTAACAACAGGCACAAGCATGCAACATTAAAGATAGCGTTCCTCAGTGCAATACACCCTCAGACAATGCTCTGATAGTTTATCTGGTTAAAGACAAGTCACACATTGCTATGCTCATAACTGCTAAATAGATTTTTTTTTTAAATGGGAAAACTACAAGCAACATACCAGGCCCATTTCAGGCACCTGATCTGGTAACATGCTAGGAATTTACATGTTTGGGGAGTAGTAACAGAGAGGACAGGCAAAAAGCCATTTTAAAACCAAGCCTTCCTGGTATGGCTTACAATAAATAGAAACGCAAAGGGCACACAGCACACTCCTGGCAGAAAGCAGCATATTTCCCAGCCCAGAAAGGGGAACTCCCTTCCTGGCCTTCCACCAAAAGCTCCGGCCTCACACAAAAACTCGAGCCAGCCCCAAGAAGCGCTGCCCGTCGGGAGCCACTGCCGCCGGCGATCCGTTCGCCCCCCCATCCAAACCCAGGGGCCAACCCCCGGCCACGAGGCGGGGGGGGGGCGGGGGGGAAGGTACCGAGCCACCACCACCGCAGAGCACAGTCCCCACTCACCAGCCACCGCCACGCCACGCTCCCCGCGGCCCCGGGAGCCGCCGGGCTGCGCCACCGCCACCATCCCACACGGTTCTCCTCGGCCGTGGTGCGAGAAGGGGGCCGCTTGCCCAGCGAGGACCAGCTCCAGCCACTCCATGCCTGGCTCCCGGGCCAGCAGCGTCAGCATCTCCCAAAAAGGCGCAGCAACAGGCGCGGCCGGGGCGCGGGTACGGCCAGACATGGCAGGAGACAGAACGCCACACCGCTCTCCTCCACGGCGCGAAGACTGCAACCAGCGCCGCCACGGGCGCTTTTATAGCCGCGGAGCCGCTCGCAACGCCCTCCTCCGATTGGGTACTCGGAGCCGCCCCGGCGATCCTGAGCGCTGCCATTGGCTGATTGCCCGGGCCGGGCCGCGCCCCTTCTAGCGCGGCCGATGGCGAGCGGCGGCGGGTGTGAAGCGACCGGTAGCGCGCGGCGGCGCCGCCGGGCGCGACCTGTGGGCTGAGGGGTGTGAAATTCACCGGTGATTCTTGCGCTGTCTTCAGCCAAAGCCTGAAATATGAATTGATTTACTGATAAGGCTAAAAGAAGAGAGAAGTACTTGTGTTACCCACCCGTTGTTCTCCTGGGGTCGCCAAGATATGGTTTCCGGAAAGCTTCTTACAGAGAACAGCGCGGGGCAGCTGACTCCACTCTGAATCACTCATCATTCTTCTTTCGCTGTTAATCACAGATAACGCACCGAGACGTTTCGTGCGCGGTTTAATGAGACAGCCACCCTCCCACGACAGCTACACCGTATCCCAAGACAAAACAAAGCAAGCAGGCTCCACAGCCGACAACTCGAGGTTTCGGCTTGGTATTTCCCTGTGCGCCCTGATCTCCTTTGGGGTGCCTTTACAGACCCCGCTTGCTCTGGGGAGGGGGTAGTCCGAGGGCTCCCGGCCACCCAGGGCACCAGCTGCCCCTGCTCGCCGCCGCCCTTGAGACCCGGCCAGGCCTCCCTTCGAACAAAGCTCTGCAGGGAACTGCCGTCCCCGGGAGCCTCCTCAAGATTTGGCCGTTCCTCGTGGTCCTCGTCGGTCCTACACCATGTTTGTACCCCCGCCCGCTGCAGGTTGCCTCGGTGTAGGAACAAACGGGCGCAGGTTTGAGGCGGGGGGAGGAAGAACAGGAGCAGGGCGGAGGTGATTAAGTCACATAGCGGCGGCACACCCTCTGTCGCCGCCGGCTCCTTCCTTATCCCCCCAGCTGCGGCACAATGCAGGCGAGAACGGCCCGTTTATCGCCGGGATGATCCCGTCCCCCGCGCGCTTCCCGCCCAGACCCGGAGGGGGCGGCGGGGCGCGGAGACCCCGCTCCGTCCCTCAGGCACGGGCTCCACGCGGCTCGCTCCGCGATTGGGTAAGAGCGGGGGGCGGGGGCGGACAAGAGATACTCTGATTGGTTAAATGGCCAGTCCATAAAGGGGCAGCATGGAGGCGCCTTTGCGTTTTTGCCGCTTCGCGCTGCTGCCTGCCTAGCCCGGCGCCATTTTGTTGGCGATGCAGAGTGCTGGGGACCAGCCGTCCGCCACATCTTCACCCTTCTGGGCGCTGCTGGCGCTGCTGCAGCGGGAGCCCGGTATGGGGTGGCTGCCGTGTAGTCTGAGTGGCTGCGCCGGATCGTGGGGTCCCAGTGAAGCGGAGGCTGGCAGCAGGGAAGGAGCTGGTGAGCGTGGCCCGGGAGGGTCGGTTGGTTGTGTGGTGGGGTAGGTGGGCAGAGGCTTGGTGCATTCTTCCGTGGGATCTGAACCCAGTGCTGGAAGACTTCTGGGATCTCTGGGCTCTGCTGAATCTATTGGTAGTTTGCGGTGGCTTTGTAGCTCCAAACACCTTGTGCCCATTGATGGAAGTCCGGGGCTGCAGAAACCTTGCAGTAGTGTGCTGCATGTGTTTAACCTGGCTTGAGGTGTTGTTTCAAAGACAAAAATCACTGGGTTTTTATGGGGTTTGAGAATTTTAAATGTTCTCCTGTGCTCTTCCTGTTGGAAGCAGTGCAGATGAGTTGTAATAATGCATGGGACAAGGTTTTTTTCAGAGAAGTTCAAGCTAAAGCTGAAGTGTGTAGAAAGGGACAAAACATCTCTCTGATTTACTGTCTGTGAGACTGCCTTGTTTGCCATTGCTAATGTGGATTTCTTTCAGCAGGTGAACTCAACCAAGTTCCTGTGAAGCATCCCTTGGGCCCTTTGCCCCTGAAGGCTCTGCTGTTACTGGAGGACTCGGGAGATAGCCAGTTATGGCAGGTCTACCATGAGGGCCTGAAGAATTTCCTTGCCTTTAGAGAAGGCATGGCTCTATCTGCAGTCTGGCCAATTCCAGTGGATCAAGTGAAAGAGTTCTTGGTTGTCATGGAGTCCCAGAATCTGCCTCCCACAAAAATAATAATGTACATGGAAGGACTGTCCTTCATCTCCAGAATGGTAGATCATTCTGATCCTCTTAAAGATCCTGTTATCAGTCACATGATATCAAGGTTGAAACATGTGACTGGCTCTTCAGATGATAAATATTCCCCTGTAACTATTGAAGTGTTAAGATCTCTCCTGGGGACTCTGGAATCTGTGTGTAGCTCTCCTTATGAGTGCATATTGTTCCACGCCATGTTCACTGTAGCTTTTTTTGGTGCTCTCCGTATAGAAGAGATGGTGGCAAATCACCAAAATATAGCACACCCAGTGCTCCTGTACTTGAGAGACCTGCAGCTGACTGAAGGGAGTGCAGTCCTTTGTTTACATACATCCCATATGGGCCGAGAGAGGTATTTGATCCACCTGAGGTTATCTAGAGAGATGTGGGTATGTCCTGTCGAAGCTCTCCGTCTCTATGTGGCGGCACGGCCCCAGGGAGAGGGCCCTCTCTTCGTGCACTCAGACGGTGTGCCTGTGACAAAAAGGGAATTCCTAACTGTCTTCCGCCGTGCTCTCAGGCTTGCTGGACTTCCTCCCAACCAGTATGGTGTGCATTCCTTCTGTCTGGGAACTGTTGTAACCACTATCTGATAGGATATTCTGATGTAGCTATTAACAGAATAGCAAAGTGGTGGTGGAGATCCTGAAGAAGACATATTTCTGTTTATCTGTTAGGCTTCCATAGTAAGAGGTATCTTCTGTCTTGCAGGAATGATACACTTTACAGAGCACTGAAACTTTATAAAGTTACACAGAGGGGGGGTAACTAGTACGAGGTGACTTTCCCCACCTGTGATGGTTTTGAGAATGGAATATCATGGTTTCAAAACTGCTGTGACCTGTGGGTCAGTGTGCATACTGTTCAGCATGGTTCTAATTGTATTTTGACCTTGTATGACTATTAAACTGCATTTTCTTTCAAGAACTTCTCTTTCTGTTATGCCCTGGTTAAAGTCTACTCATCACAGTAGTGACGAGGTAACTTCATCTAAGTGTGCATCCTTTTTACTGTCTAATGAGAAGCAAAACTACCTGGTGATTGGAAGCTCTGAGTGTGGAGGGAATTTAACTGCTAACTGAATGTGACACCAACAGGGAAGCTGTTGAAGTTGCAGTTCAGAGCTGCATCCAACCTCAACTGTTGCTGCTGCAGTCTCAAGTCTCCTTACTTATAGCAACCTTCCCCTTGGCAATTCTCAGGATTCTTCACTGATTCCTCTTCAAAGGATGTATCAAACTTGGATACTGACCAAAAGTAGCCTTTGATTGAAAGATGACCCTGCTCAGTTCAAACAATTCTTTGTCGCAAAGAACACAAGCTAAGAGATTGCTAACACAATCCTCATTCTATAATTAGAACACTTGTTAAGGAAAGACTCAATATAGATTAAATAAGTAATATCTGAGAAGCAGGATCATAAGAAGGTCGAGTGTCACCTTTTATAACAAGGGTGTTTGGAGTAATAGCATCCCCTGTGGTGTATCACATCGGTGTGCTCAGGAGCTACCTAGATGACGACTAGGTATACAGAAAACTACTGGCATCACACTGCACTTTTCAATACCCAGTCTAATTTCCAAGAGGATCATTAGTTACAGAAAGTTCTTGCTCTGCTCTCTGTGCAGAGCACACTGCAAAGACAAAGCTGTGATAGTAGACAACGATCTGTTAATTGCCTGGCATACATTGGGTAGCTCCCATTCTATGGCTTTACTACAGGCTGTTGCAGAATTAGCATGCTGATGCTGGGTCCCAGTTGTTTTGCTCACATTTATGAATGTGAAACGGTATGTCAGAGCAGCTAGAACTCCCTCTGTGTTGGCAAGGTAATCAGTTGTTAAAATATCCACATGAAAAGTGTGCCAGGGGAAGCAGAGGTCTTAGGCTGGGTGATGAGAGAAGGAAGAGTTTGGCTCACCGGCCTTGGTGACGGGAAATGGGGAGAAGGCATTGGTTTATTGTGAGATACATGGGGGTTGTCTGGGTCACAAATGTTTTACACAAGAGGGAAAAGGGATTTGTTACGTAAGGAAAAGCAGGATTCTGCTCTGTGTGTGATGATGGGGATGGAATTGACTGCACAGGCCCAAGCGTTTGTGGGCATGACTGCTCAGCTTTACGCTGTGTGATCACACGTGGAGTCCTGGACTGCTCTTTTATCCTGAAACTCGGGGGCTGGCATGTGGCAATGACAGGTTGGGGGAAAGTGGATGGCAGACCTGTTTTACTGTCCCTTGTGCTACCAGAAAAGCACTGATGTGCATGGCAGAAGGGTAGCAGGCTGCAGTAACCAAGACAGAGTGAGGAACAGCAACCTTGAGGCTGTCCTCAGGTGTGCAGTTGAAAATTCATTCCATCCCTACGCAGGAGGTCTCTGTCGAAATTCAAGTGTAAATTGATAACCTTTTCAAGGCTGTGAGAAGAGTGCTTTCAGCTACAATGATGGTAAATGCTCTCATTTTACTGCTCCTTAATTTTCTGAGAGGGTCTTTCCGTATTGATGTAGTTACAGTTCACCTAAGAGACGGGGTGAGAAAGGGTGCAGAGCTCACTGTAGCCGGCTCAAAGTCAGGAAAGCCTCTCTGGGTGTCCCCAGCGATGATCTCTGTGATGCCAAGCAAGGAGGGAGGAACTCAAAAATCAGCCGAATGCCACTGTGCAGAGCAGCTGTCCCACAGTGGTTCCTCGCCAGCCCTGTAAGCAGTTCCAAATGGCAACGGTTACTTTTATCCCAAGAGGGAAAGGAGCTCCTGAACAAACGCTTAAGGCTGTGCTGCACCTGCAGGTTCACAAGTGTTTTCTCAGCCGCAGTACCAGCTTTACCATAAGCCCTTTCTCATCCACCACTGTTGATTCCCCCTCTGTGCCATCCCCCTCAGCTAGTACACTTTGCTTGGCTAAACCTGAGGCAAATACAGAAATAAACGTAGATTAAAAATAATCAGATTAACTTTATTGTGTAGATCTACAAAAAGCTGTACTGACCCAGCTGAGGCCAAGTAAGAAAATGGCATAGGTTGGTTCTCCTGTCAAAAAGTTTTCATCAAACCACATCATAAAAACACCTCTGTGAAGTAATCTTCCTGGGGTACTATCTTCCTACATTGCAACCACCCACGGTTTTAATTGCTGCGTATCCCAAGGCTAAGTTACTGCAGCAACCACTCCTGGATAACTAAGCCAGGCAAGGGCAAGGAAATTACATCCATTTAACTGATGTATTGTTAAAACTTCGGAGGAGCTTTCTCTGGGGGGTTGCAAAGCCTTGTGCCCATCACAGCAGTGAAGCTTGACATCACAGTGTAAAAAATTCTGTAATCTGCTGGACACAACAGCACTGAAATGCAGCTGCTTCCTAATGAAGGGGAATCAACTGACAACTGCGAGAGACAAATTTAACCTTGGTTTACCCTAGCAATGTGACCAGATAGATGCACATAGATACTTTACCAATAGATACTTGATTCCTCTTCCCAGGCTCAGTCTGTAGCAGAGTGGGGCAAAATCATATGTAAACATAATCCTCAAACAGTCAAGGTAATCTAATGTAAAGACTGGAGGTAGCACACAAACTCCTCATGGAAATCAAGCCTTAGAGACCATAGCCTACAAGTTGAGATTTAGAGAGCTCAGACCTTAAAACTATTAAAGCTTTTTGTGTTATTTCACACATGCATTCTGCATTGAGTATTTATAAATATATAATACTCTTTAAAATATAGAATACTCTTTAGCCAAAAATTCCAACAGTGTTATGTAGGCTGGACCCCAATATCCAGTACCAGCCACTCGTTTAGATTTATTCAGTTCTTTACTTCCTGGCACATTGCCCTCATCCCTTCAGAAACTCAGATTTACTTTAAGACTAGGTCAGTTTGGAACCAGGTCTTGCAGCTCAGCTTGGCTTTCACGGCAGCACGCTGCAGTGTAAGCTGCCCGGTCACTTCATGGCACACCTCATCCTCTCTCTCCCCGTTGCTCAGCCTGAGCTCCCACGTCCTCACGCTACAGGCCATTAGAATTAAAGCCTTTAGAGGGCTAAACAGCAAAAATCGTAGAGGATTTTACTCAAAATGCACTGTTGTTGGTCATGCAACAGAATAAACCAGTGCATGTAATATTAGGGACCGATATACCATGTGCTCAATGTCTGAGGGAAATTTAACAAGAAAGGAAACTTCCCCAAGCATGGGAGGAACAGAGGCAATGCATGTCATCTGTAGAGCTCCAGCAACCCACCTGAGCATCTTGTTCCTGTTACAGTATCTCCTCCAACTCTGAATGCATGGACATGGCTATCTTTCTGCCACTGAGGTCACATTACAGTTACACGTTTTCTGTTAGCTCTTTTTTTCCTTTTTTTCTTTTTCTTTTTCTTTTTCTTTTTCTTTTTCTTTTTCTTTCTTTTTCTTTTTCTTTTTCTTTTTCTTTTTCTTTTTCTTTTTCTTTTTCTTTTTCTTTTTCTTTTTCTTTTTCTTTTTCTTTTTCTTTTTCTTTTTCTTTTTCTTTTTCTTTTTCTTTTTCTTTTTCTTTTTCTTTTTCTTTTTCTTTTTCTTTTTCTTTTTCTTTTTCTTTCTTTTTCTTTTTCTTTTTCTTTTTCTTTTTCTTTTTCTTTTTCTTTTTCTTTTTCTTTTTCTTTTTCTTTTTCTTTTTCTTTTTCTTTTTCTTTTTCTTTTTCTTTCTTTTTCTTTTTCTTTTTCTTTTTCTTTTTCTTTTTCTTTTTCTTTTTCTTTTTCTTTTTCTTTTTCTTTTTCTTTTTCTTTTTCTTTTTCTTTTTCTTTTTCTTTTTCTTTTTCTTTTTCTTTTTCTTTTTCTTTTTCTTTTTCTTTTTCTTTCTTTTTCTTTTTCTTTTTCTTTTTCTTTTTCTTTTTCTTTTTCTTTTTCTTTTTCTTTTTCTTTTTCTTTTTCTTTTTCTTTTTCTTTTTCTTTTTCTTTTTCTTTTTCTTTTTCTTTTTCTCCTTTTTATTTTTCTCTTTATTTTTCTCTTTCTCTTTCTTTTAATAAAGATATTCTTTACTCAATGGATATTTAAGTTTTAACCCTCAGCTGGTCCCTGGTCTTTCCATGCCTGGACATGAGATGATTGCCAAAGGCTAGTTCTTCCAGAAGCATTTCTTTGCCATCACCAGATAGTTCACGAAGTGGGTTCTGCAAGTCCCCAGACTGCAGCCTTTCAGCCTACTTTGTCAGCTTCGCAAAAGCCCACCGACTACAAACCAAAATGCTAAAAGGCATTTAGGAGACACATCCACCATGTCCTGAGAGCTGCTCTGCACTGGGTGGTGCTCACAACAAGCGGCGGTGTGAGCTGTTCAGGATACGCTGGTAGCTTGTAAGCCAATGCTGTCCTCCTGCCTCAAGCACGCTCAGCCCTCAGAGCCCACACTTTCTGCAAGGCTTGCTAACGGCAGTCGCCTGTACAGACACCTGAAGGGAACTAGGGGTGAGACCAAGTGATGGTGCATCGCACTTCAGACCCTGCTGCAGCCACGCAGATCCCCTGCTGCTTTCATGGCCGGGAAGGAGCTGGTGGGCTCAGTGCGGTGCAGACCAATATCCATCTGTGCATCCATACGTGCATTCACACATGTGCTCATCCATGCATCTGCCCAGAGGGGTGGGTAGGAGATGACACTTGGAGGGTTAAGAGCACTCAGACCCAGCTGGGCTTGCAAGAGTCAAGGGAAGGCTTTCACGGGCCACAGGTATTGTCCCCCCCAGTGCTAGAACTTAGACCTGCTTATTGGACAAACATGAAAATGTACCAGATTTAGGCAGCTTGGCAAATGCTGCCTGTGCTTTTACTAGGCCCACTTTAGCAAAGTTTAAAAGAGGCAGGATCACTTTTTCCTAGGTCTTGACATTTAAATGTGCCCCAGCTCGTCAAGCCTCCATTTTGTTAGAGGAGAAATGCTGATGAG